GCCCTTTGTCTATCCATCTATACGCTTGACCGCTTGGCCTTATATTTTACGTGTTTATTCTATCTCGCTCATTCCCTGATGATGCTGTAGACAGCGAAAGCTCGGAATCATAGTTTTGTTGTAAACTCGATCTACACACTTAGCGGCTTCGGCTACATTTTGTATTTTCCACACTGCTGGACATAATTCGACACGTTCGGTATTTTTTTTCAAAATGCTCAAATGTACTTTTATTGATTGATGAAAGCAGGTTGATGTGAAAATTCCAAATGACGAGCATCCTACCGCTCTTATGTAGGATTGTCAATAAAATCGTATTGAGGCTGGTTACAACTATCTTCTCGCCTTAATATTGTGTGTGAGAGAGAGTCAGAAGCAGAGGTATTCTGAAACCTTTCCTTCATTTGGAGACGAGATGAAATCCATTACACTTTATTTGCCAACAGTATGCTAGGCATGAATCCAAAATGATACTCGTGGAATTTTGCAGTCAATCGTCTCTAAAATAGAAACCATGTCAAACTCTGTTATTCGTTGTCATCTGTGTCTTACGCTTCAATTTGACCCAGCAAATGCGCATGCAAGATGCCAGCTGAAATCCAAGATGGCGGACAAAGTGTAGATGAAACATGCCTTTTGAAAACTATTGCTTTTCAACACATAGGGATGTAAACGATCTCTTTGGACAAATAGCGTGCAATGATAGAAACCTTCTTTCACACCTACAGACAATTATTCACAGGTTTCTATCATTGCACGCTAAACGGTTGTTTCGCTTCGATGTAAAGGCACGGCTACCTTTCAACATGGCGCAGGTAACCGTGAAGGAGACTATAGAGAGCAAAGGTAACATTGCTCGTTACTCAAGTGAAAAAAAACAAAAACAAAACAACAACAACAACAACAACAGCAAAAAACAACAAACAAACAAAAAACACACAAACAAATCACAACAAATAGAAAATGATAAAAATAAATGTAAGAACCGGTCAGTTATTCGTTATTCCAAAAGTACATAACCAGAAGTGTCCATAGTAATATCGACACGATCAGATGTCCCGATAATCTATTTTTAGACAACCAATCGCAAAACAGCGTGAAAACAGTGTGTGAAGAAAAGTAGTTTAAAGTAGCTTTCTTGCAGTCAAATAGAGTTGAAAAATAGAGCCAAAGGTAAAGTTATTTGATAAAATCACATACTTTACTATATGAGCAATGTAGCGAAAGTATTTCTAGAGCAATATGTCTGTGAAGATAGGGGAAAAGTTCAGACAAAGATGAAGAAATGTATGCAAAATATGCAAAAATTTACCGATTTGTGGCGAGAATTGAATTCGTTTTGAGTAGAAATCTATTCCAATAGAATGAAAGAAAACCCTCCTAGCTACCTGAAAATTTATAGGTTCGAATTTCTAAGGTTAACAGTCGAAAAATACTTAACCTTTGACTTAGTTTTAGACAATGAATATGTACGCGCGTTGTGATTGGCTGTCTAAAAATAGGTTATCGGGACACTTGATGGTGACTAGATTACTAGCGAGATTGACACTTCTGGTTATGTACTTCTGGTTATTCGCATTAGTATTACACTATATAAAAAGTATAATTTAAAATATAAAAGTGTAAGTCAAAATTATCTATAAAAGCTGAACTCCAATAAACAAATGATATCGATTTTTGATCATTTGTAAATGGCCTCTGTAGCTTAAGTACCTGTCTACGTAGAAAACGGCGATAAGAAAAATCTTTAATATGCAATACAACTGTAACTTAAAGGCCACGTTTGACTTAGATATTCTTAACACTATATCCTAGTGTTTACTATTGTCACAACAAATGAATCAACCACTTATTTTGATGTTATGCTGCTCGATTTCTCAGCTTCGTGTCGCCTTTTGCCGAGTCAAGGTCGTATTCCTAACAACAACTTCGACTTTCAGGAATATGAAGTCTATTTTTGAAAGAACAAATTATTTCAAGTTAATGTTTTATCTCAAAAGTGCCGATTTCTCTGTAGCTACATGTCGATTTCTCAGCTTCGTGTAGCATTTTCCGGAGTCAAAGTCGTAATCTCAGCAGCAAGTTCGACTTTCACGAAAATAAGGTCGATTTCTCAGGATGTTAGTTTGAAAGAACAAATTACTCCAAGTTAATGCTTCAGCTCAGACAGTGTGGATTTCTCAGTAGCTTCATGTCGATTTCTCAGCGTCGTGTCGATTTCTCAGCTCAGTGTCGTATTTTGCTGAGTCAAGGTCGTATTCTCAGCAACACGTTCGACTTTCACGAAAAGAAGGTCGATTTCTCAGGATGTTAGTTTGAAAGAACAAATTACTCCAAGTTAATGTTTCAACTCAGACAGTGTGGATTTCTCAGTAGCTACATGTCGATTTCTCAGCTCAGTGTCGCATTTTGCTGAGTCAAAGTCGTATTCTCAGCAACAGTTCGCGCGATTTTCATGAAACTAGACGCATAGCTGCGTGAACTCGGGGTTCTTGTTGATAAAAATCTAGTACTGTAGTGAATCCGAAAGATTAATATTCAGCGTAAATGGTTATATCGATAAAGTTTGTACACTTGTAGTTTCTTTGGTAAGGCTCGTTTACACTTGCGATTGTTGCAGTGCATCAAATACGGCTATGAGAACGAAAACACTACTTTGCATAGCAGSCATAGTGCATAGTACCAATAAATATCACYCTTAATTTGCTTGTGGAGTTTATCTTTTGTATAATTATTGAATTAATTTTGCCATTATTATTATTTGTTGACATCTTAGCTTATAATTATTTAAATCTATGGCTGCAAGCCGCGTCCTCATCACTTTGATAGCAGGGGATAGCAGTCACATGGCAGGCTATAAACACAGAGCTTTTTATCTTCTCCGCTAAATAAAATACTTCCAGTCATCGGTTTGTCCTTGGTAGATTTCTGTTTGTATTCCTTAGATAAGTCCTTTGTAGTTTCAGAGCCTGTATATGCTAGTTCGCGATAAGACAATTCTCGATGGACTGCGATCGATAGACAGCAAAATAAACTTCRCTATAAAAGACTATAAGTTTTACGATAAATTCATGGTATCTCTCAAAATTCCCTCTCGAAAAACGCTCGACATCTTTTACTAAGTGTGGCTATACGCGAATGGTGTATGGATTTGTAAGTGATTTGAGCGTATCTGACGTTGAATGCATGTCTTCTTCCATCGGTTGCCTTCGCCACCATTAAGAAATCCAAGATAGCACATGGAAGATGTGAATGTCACGTGATAGGTTGGACAGTTTGTGACTGATAAGCGACGACAATGAATAAGAAAAACTAGACGCATAACTGCGTAAACTCGGGGTTCTTGTTGATAAAATAGTAGTGAATTTGGTAAGGCTCGTTTACACTTGCGTGTTTGCCATATATTTACTATATAATTCGCTTTTGATAAGATGGGTAGCTAGTTTGATAGACAATTCATGATATGCAGTAATATAAATATCACAATTTTAATAACTTAAAAGTCATTTAGAGAAATTAAAAAAATAACTGTGTCTACGCCAACTTCGTATTATTAAAAGAACATGAACAAATATCAAGACAATAACAACAATCTAATTATGTCATTTTACATGTAAGACAAAATTAAGATAAACCTCTTTTGACAGATTCGATGATAAACAACCCATCTTAGCTTTCTACTTTTGTTATGTAAGCGTCTTAGAAATCGTTTTGGTATCCTACTGGGCKCTCGACTACGACTACAACGTACATGTCGATAATTATAATAAACAAACCTTGAATAACGAGATCTTGAAGTACTTGCAATGTTTATTGTAACTTCTGCATCATTGTATACACCATAAACAGTCATACAAATAGTTTTATCTAAGATATCACAATCACTAAACGATGAAGTGACAATABTYYGAGTGTAGTTATCGAAGAATTGGACTGTATTGAACCCTAATAAAGTTAATATCAATACTATCATAAGGGTAAAGCAAAAAATATTTCCTTGAATGAAAAATAATAACAGAAGCAATGTAGTTAGCATTAAGGAAAAATTGATAGTCTTTGTCAAGCTCTCCTCACTTTGATAGTCACGTGGCAGGCTATAAAGACAGAGTCTTTTATCCTCTCTGCTAAATAAAATAGTTGCAATCGTCGGTTTTTCCTCAGTGAATTCTGTTCGCATTCCTTAGAGAAGTCCTTTGTATTTTCAGAGCCTGTAGAATCAGTTAGTATAGAGTTCGMTTTTGATAAGATTGGTTCGAATTTCACGATAAGTTTCACGATAAATTTCAAGATAAATTCGCGGTATCTCTCAAAATGCCCTTTCGAAAAACGCTCGACATCTTTTAGTGTGGCTCTAATACGGCGAATGGTGTGTGGATTTGTAAGAGATTTGAGCATGTTTGAAGTTGAATTCATGTCTTCCATCTCGTATAAAACCGACACCTCGACGACACCATAAGATAGCACATGGAAGTTGTGAATGTCACGTGATTCGTACCCAGTGCATTCTAATTTGGCCGAGACAATTTGTGTACCAAATGCGACAAAGAAGGCCGAAACCTAAACTCGGCGGTTCCACAGGAACCCCGAGTAATAAGAAAAATAAGAAGTCCGAAATTTAAACTCGGGATTCCTTTGGAACCCCGAGTAATRAGGTCGATTTCGCAGGATGCTACTTTGAAAGAGCAAATTACTCCAAGTTAATCTTTCAGCTCAGAAAGTGCCAAATTTATATATTAGCCTAGCTCCATGTCGATTTTTTAGCTTCCTGTCGATTTTACCGGGGGGGGGGGGGGGGTGTACTCCCCCCAACTTGGGTGGGGGTGTGCCGAAATAGTTGAAAACTAGACCCTGTTCCAGCCAGCACTAGCTTGCGTGTAGACCGAATTTTTAACCCAAAAATCTCTACCCAGCATCAATAGTCCCGGAATCAAACCCTCACCCTGTTCAAGAGAAAATTCGTTGAAATCGATACCCTGTTCCAGACTATAATCGTGTTGCATTTTGCCGAATCAAGTCTTATTTTCAGCAACAAAATGAAAGTGGTTTTTGAAATACGAAAATGAGGTCGATTTCTCATATACAGGATGTTATTTTGAAAGAAGAAATTACTACAAGTTAATTTTTCAGCTACGTGTCGCTCTTGCCGAGGTCAATGTCGTGTTTGGCTGTAGGTTCGGGGAAGTTCACATTTCTTATTGTGCAACAAAGAATGCCRGCCGATTTTATATCTTTCCATGATGCATTTCGGTCGTGCATGTGAATTTGTTGTACCAGGTCCTTAAAAGAGGTCTGTTGAGAGGTCTGCAGTGACTTTGTCAGAATAATAACGCCAAACATGATGACGTTTTATGAAAGATGTTTAAACAAATGGACTTTTCTGCTAGGAGAACATAGTTTGACGTTAGAAATTTAGATAGAAGTCACTGTTCCCTTCCCAATTAAACAGAGTACTTGCTTTGTGCTTTTTTTCCTTGTTACGAAATTCTTTGAACTGTAAGATCGACACTGTTTACTACAGTAGTAGTTGTCTCGTACAAGCATTTTGAGGGCAATAACTAGCTTATTATTTATTTTATTAGATTTTAAAAACWTTAGTCGTATTCGACCTAAATTTCAAGGGACGGAAGGGACCGCGGAGACGAAAACTTAATAATAAATTAAATCAATAAGAATAAAAATACAAAATACAAAAAAATCAGAGCTCAAATATATGAAGGCATATGATGACGACATAAAGTTGGAAACGTTAAAAGACTCAGCTTCAAGTCCTGCGTCAGATACTGAAGGACGAGGGTCCTATGGAATATTTTGATTGCATTCTATCAGCAGTTAAGAAACTGTCCGAAGCAGAAAAAAGTGAGGCGGTGACCCTATGTAAGCTGTTGGCAGTCAATCAAACGACCAGCGATTTGTGTGAACGAACATCATAGCAGCACGACGTCTGAAAACCTGGCGCATATAGATCTAATATGACACATTGGCGATTCAGCAATCTCACGCTACTAAATTGCCATAATAGAGAAACAAAGGTCGAGCTGAATGYCACTGAAATCGCTAATGCCTTTATAAGTTACGCAAAATACATATTCACGAGAACAATTAATGAGGAAAACACAATAGAAATCACAACCGTGAAGAGTGTTGTAATATTAGTGCATTTTGTAACCTGGGATATGTATTTTTCTCCTGTACCAATTAAGATTATTATTTTGTACATCCAAAGTATATTATGTACAAGTTCAGCGCACATCTTTCCATCGAGACATCAAAGTTCGTTTGGAATGTGATCTTTTGTGCGGCGTGGGGGCGGAGCTCTTTCCGTTAGCCTACGAGCTCTGAATATTTTTCAAAGCAAGCTGCAAGACAACTGAACAAGTGGACCCATGCGATGGAGAACGAAAGAAAGCTTGCAGCATTTTCCGAGTATTCCGATATCTTCAAGCATGTAAATGCATTCGGTAGCTATCAGAAGAAGTTTGTATTCGGGATTTCCTTGGTATTCACTGGGCAAGGATTGGTTATTGGACACCTTAAGTTTGTTACAGGAACTCCCAAGTTTCAGTGCTCAACTCCTAATGTATCGTGTGGAGGTATCAATAAATGTTGTACAAACTGTACATCTTATGAATTCGATCCTTTGTTCACTACCGTCGTCTCTGAGGTAAGTTTATTTTACTCTTCCTTTGTATGTTAAATTGATTCATTGGAGAAATCGAATCACGAGGGCTTCATWGGTATAATGTATATTTGGAAAATATACGGAATTGCAGATTACCTAGCGAATGTACATTTTAAAACCGTTTGCACCTGTAAAAGGGTATAGTGTTCACATATAATCATGGCATCATAAATACATCTCAAAGCAATAATAATCAAAAATACGATAGGTCGATTTATATATCCATTTTCATTGTAAATACAATTGTGTGATTTGCATAACAGTTAAACTTGTTGTCTGACTTTTAGTTTTTTTTAGCAATATAATTTGTTTTAGAATTTGATAGGGACTACTCTAGCTACATAAGCTAAGCAGGGATCCGTATGAGAATTTAGACGCCTTTAAGATTACGGGACCCAAAAGTTTTCACTATAGCTAGCTAGGCTAGCAACAATTAAGTCTGAAATAGGATTCAAAACTTAAAAGGGTACATGCATGCATGTCTGCACCAACGATTCTCGTGAATATCTTATAAACTGGAAGTACTTTCAATTCTCATTAGTAACCGTTGTAGTATTAGGATAGAATCAGGAATTCATAATAATTTTTATGTAATTTATAATATATCATTGTTTGTTCGGATATATTTATTTCAGGATCACGTGCTGTGTTTGAACAAACGTTTTCAAGGTCTAGTGCGGTTTAGTTACACATCAACTATCTGAAAATCAAAACATTATTAATTGATACCGAAAATTACTGAGCTTTATAAACTCATTTCAAAAATCTATTCATAGTCAATAGTCTTTCAAATTAAACTAAAGTGAACTGAAATTAGATACCGACAATGTCATTGATGGTGTTTTAGCGCGCCTCTGTTAATGTTATGATTTACACCAAAATATACTTCTGGTATCCAAATATCACCATAAAACGAATGTCAGATGGTTGAAAACTCTAATATTAGCGTTTAAAGTTTAAATATTAGTGCTTAGAAAAAAAACACTGGGCCTTTAAAAGTTGCAATGCACATATACACAAATATAATGAGACTTTTGTTGGGTTTTGGCTTTCTTAAAATCTATTTGGACATATTTCTGCATCCCATTAGGTATTTCAATATGTAGGTATGTATATTTCATTTGTATATGTTACATATCTCAACCACAGCCCTTTTGCAATTGACTGAATGCCATGAATAAAATATTGCTCATGTDCATTTTATTTGACTTTTACTCCGACGAAGGATTAACGTCCGAAACGTCAGTAAGTTATTTCACATACTTTTTTACGGTGTTAAATTTATCTTTTTACATAACGACGCAGCTCACACTAGTTTACCGCTAGTTCCCACCATTTTATTTGATGATGTGCAGTCACCCTAATTTCCTCTGTAGACCATAATCCTTTAGATTTAAAACTACAGAATTTTTTGATGCGACGTTAATGTAATTAATGGGCAATTTKTTTCAGACGATTCCGTCCCTCTCCGTAAACATGACATGACGCCATAATCTGCTAATTAACAATCAATTGAATTAACGGTGATGCACATCTCTTTATGTCCCAGTGGAATCTGATTTGTGATCGATCGTATCTGGCAGCCATTATCCAGGCATTGTTCTTTGTTGGTATGCTGGTAGGGTCGTTCGTGTCTGGCATGCTATCTGACGCGTATGGTCGGAAAACAGTCAGTTTTGGAGCACTTGGATCAATGGTAAACAGATCTGGTTTTGCTTTTGCTCAGTAGCAATGTTTCAAAAGCGGATAGAGTGTTTCTTAAGTTTTTTTAAACGCTTAAACGTTTTGCAAGTGTGTTTTCAGACTTTAGATATTTTTGATGAGTTTATAAAAAAAAGGATTGTAGACGAGTCTCTGGATATTCTTAATGTRTTCCTTTATTCCCAGTAGCCTAAATAATCTACAACTCTTTTGTRCATGCTCATTGTGTAACCAAGTCACTCTTTGCTAATAATGTAATTGACATTTTCAGGCTATCAGTGGCATTGCCCAAGCATTTGTAAAGTCCTCCATTGCACTTTTCGCTTTTCTTCGTTTTGCAACAGGAGCATTCTTTATCAGTGCYACATTATCAATATACATTCTAATAATGGAGATGATTGGACCAGGATACAGAGCTAGAATGGGGAATGTTAACGGATTTTATTGGTGTCTTGGAGATTTCGCCTCAATCCTTGTTGCCTACTTCATAAGAGATTGGAGGACGTTTGTTTGGGTGTCGTGTCTTCCTCCCTTCTTGTTATACTTCTTTTGGTGGTAAGTTTCATTTTGCGATAAGTTTGTAAAGCTACTTTCTTCAAATGGCAACGTTGTAGGAGGTAATGAATAATACAAACTGAAATGRAYACAAAAATTATCACTTGATCACACATTTTCTCATTCCATTTTTGCGTCCAAATCATTATTCACAGAAAAAGTTCACGCGAGGAAGAATCATTACTTTTAACTTCGTAAAATGACTCTGTGCATTAATTATCAGGCTGATAGTTTTATTATCATTACCCAGGGCTATACCAGAGTCCCCTCGCTGGCTTGTTGTTAAAGGCAAAGTAAAACAAGCTTGCGAGATCATCATGAAGTACGGTGGAAGAGATAACAAAACCTGTGATCCTGAGGAGGTGATGAGCTTGCTTAAGTCTATTCACAACGATCAAATTCAGCACAGTTTGAAAGCAAAAAGATACACACCATTAGATCTTGTCCGTACKCCAAAGTTGAGAAAATGGACGATTATCACTTCTTTCGCATGGTAAGTATATCATTCATAAATTGAAATGGTATCATCTTTAAAACATGGAAACCAAATACACTGCAAAAAACTTTTAACAATCATTTCTGCATATAAGAGATAGAGGAGGGCCTATTATTGAACCCTGAGGAAACCATTATCTTTATGTATATTTGATTTCGGAAAATTCGTATACTTTAGACAAAATGCTCGGGTCTTAGAATCCTAAACCCCAAACACTTCAGCCTGGTAGAATCTATTTATTTAGAGCGTCCCATAAGAAAACGTCAGAAAGCATTTGCAAACGGTTATCATTCCCTATAGTTACTGATAAATTGCGTGAATCGCAAAAGGAAACGCTGTTGGGACAAATTTTATGAATTCAAAGTTGCACAGCTAAAGAAAATCAAAAATCTAAATAGCAAGTGAAATTAAGAAACTGTCTGGCCTTGAATCCATCCAATTGCAAGGTGACAGCACCTGATGGTGTGCCAGATTGGCTCCGTCGGCTGTTTACCAGAATCAGTAAGACAGATACAAAGTTCCTTTGACCGCTCTTTGAAGGAGAAAGGCAACAATGGAGGGATTGTGAAGGCGAGTAAATTCTCAAAATCGCATGGCATCGATCGTCTTCCTCGCCGATGACAGCTTTACGCAAACTTATCGATAAACACGTTAAAATATCCAGTCTCAAAGACCCTGCAACAATTCTTAGATCTTCTTTGCGACAGGCGAAACAGACGGCCTCCATAAAGAACTTGTCCCTTGGTTGTTCACTATTAAGATTAATGAACATTCCAGGAATTGAAATGTGGAAATATGTAGACGATAAAGAAGAACSAGAACATTTCAATATAAAATTTCRCTGACGAACTTACTGATTTCGCCGACTACGAAAATTCCCAACTCAACAATTCAAGGGAAAATGTAACGAGATAATATRTACTTTCGAAAGGTCTGAAAATGTCTTTGAACCAAAAAAAGGAAAAACAATAAAAATGTCGAGACCCTTTAGTGTGTGTCTATGTTTCAACCACGCCAGATGGAACAATTTTATCATTGTCACAAAATGCTAATCAGTGATCATTCGTTGTATTATTCTCTTTTTATTAGTTTTTATGTATTATATGTATTTATGCTTTTGATGTGTTATAAATTGTAATTGTATAAAAGAGACGCAATTCAGCCTTTCGGCTGTAAGGCTTATTTGGATAAAACTGCCTATATATCTTTTGTCCCTTCGCGTGTAAGCGGATCTTCTGGGATAATGGACGAAATGCAATAAACGGTTATTATTTATTGATATATTGATTGATAGATACTTCAATTTGTATGCATGTTTATTTAGAATGATATTTTTTTTAACACTGCATAAACGAAAAATAGAGAAATTGTGCGTCGGCTCAAATGGACTCGAATTATTGTTAATTGGGCATGAATGCTTAATCAATTTTGTTTTGTTCTTTAATTCAGGTTCACCACTGCCTTTGTCTATTTTGCAATTGCGATCTACGCGTCTCAGCTTCACGGCAACATATACGTCATCATGCTTATATTTGCAGCAGTGTCTAGTGTTATAGTCTTGCCAACGTGGTATTCAATGAATTGGTGCGTATTCTAATGGTGTTTGACTTTAAATCTTTCCCAAAGGTCTTTTTTTATTGACTGTAAGTAACGCYCTTTAAAAAAATCCTCAGGAAAATATCAATAGGGCGTCTAAAAAACCATAAACGCCATAAACTATATATATATGCGATTGATGATAAGAAGTATTTTGTAATTAAGCGAATTCTAAGAGTTTTTGTGGTGTATTTACACTTATTCTCGACTTTGATATACTTTCCGTTATGTTGGTGTACCAAACTGGTGCACCACAATAGAAAGGTCTGGAACTGAACAGATTAGGAATAGATTGATAATTAGTTTTGTTCAGCTAGGGACGTATATTTCAGTTTCCGGAAAATACATAGATTAACTTATAAAACTCAAGGTTAAACATTATTAGTTTGTGCGCTTATATGCTCTCAAATTCTCCCAACCTACATTTTCGAATTCCTTTAGGCAGTGCAAACACGTATAGATTTGTATATGTGTTTTTAAATGTTTTGGTTTCGGCTTTCTTTTTTTTTCTTCGTCGTCGTCTTTCGGTCACAATTGTCCACAAGTAGTCCAAGCTCAGTAATTGTCCGCGAGAGTCTAACACGTGATGGAAGAAGTCATGGATTCAACGTCTACAAATATGTTTATGGGAATTATATACAATTCGTTGTACTAGTGAGAGCACAGGTCCGCAGCATACCAAAACGATTTCTAAGTAAACAGAAGCCAGATCAAAAACTCGTGCTTCGTGTTTTAYCAGGKGAATCYAAACACCTCGAAACAGATAAAAGCACTCGGCCTGCGGCCTCTTGCTTTCATCAGTTCCTCGGTATTTGGATCCCCTGATGAAACACTCGCCCTCGTCTTTGATCTATTACATCCATCACTAGGCAAATAACATTCTTTTGTCGACTTACAAAAAGCTATTATTCTTTATTTATCGTCAAGATTTATATTATATTTTGTTTGTGTGTTTCAGTTTGGGGCGTCGTCTAACCCTGTGCATGCAGTTTGTTGTGACTGGTGTATTACTTCTAACGATCTTGGCTATTCCTGAAGGTTTGCTATGGATGAATTTTCATTCTTATCACCGTCACAAAAGGAGTTCAATCTTAACATCGCTTTTTACACTRTATTTTATGTGTGACAGGACATGCAACCTGGACCACCTATTTAGCCATAGCTGGGAAGCTAGTGATTTTCCAAAGCTGGGCTAGCGTGTATCTCATATCGTCAGAACTGTTTCCTACCATCTTGAGGTAACACCTTGAAGATTCAAAAACTCGTCAAMAATTCATCAGCCATTAGACCAATCTTCATAAACAACTTTTCTCACATTAATGAGCTCACACCGCATAAAACACAGCCAGAGTGGAGTCCTAAACTGTTCTTATATAACAGAAACAACCATAACAATGAAACAACCATAATAATGAAAAAAACGTTTGTGTGACTTATCAAAAAAAACCCTGTAATTTTTAAAAATCAGTCGGAATAACTAGGCATTTTTAAAACAGTGTATATAATTTAGGACCAAAATTTTGAAAAGGCACCATTATCGGTGTTAGTCAGATATAGGGTATCTAAACGGGAAGTGACTAATTATAGAAAAATGTTAGAAAAATACTAAGACAGGGATTATTCTGAAGAAAACTACATTGTAAAAAAATACAAGATGTGCAATTCTATAAATGAAAATATCATAGGAAGTCTTTAACAAATAGTGGCATTTCGGAAACTTGAATTTAGAAACGTCTATCCAATTTGTATTGACACAACCATTGCAGTTGTAGCGTCCTGATGTTTTCACTCAGAGCACGTGTCCATCTTTTTCTTATCAAGGTCAAGCGCACATTTGTCGTGCAAAAAATGATTTGTACTGTATGATAACATATACAAATTATGAGTTGGACAAATTTCTACAGTTTCTCCTTTTTTTTTCCTACCTTTCTCCTATCTCTAGTATGTTTTGGGAAATGTCACATGGTCATTCGAAGACTAATCCACAATGGCCTACTTACAAGCTACAACAAAAATCGTGGTTTCTCCTCGGCCTACAAACAATATATACAGTCAGCTACATTTTTATAACAATAATGTTATCATTTCTCTATTTTATGCTCTAGTTTTAACTTTGTTACGATTTGCGGTTGGAACTTGTGTTTTTTTTTCCAGAAATTCGTTATCGAGTAGTTTGAAAAATATTAATATCTTATCAACCGAGCGCGAGGGCCGTACGAGAAGTTATGGACTGAGTTTTTTTCCACTGCCATAAAAAGTGGAAAAAACGAGGTTCCATAACTTCCCGTACGGCTCGAGCAAGCGAGGTTAATAAGATATTTATTATATAGAATCGGACATAAAAGTAC